ACCATTATTTGATATCACTAATGGTATATTTATTATTTAATTTTCTACATCAATTTCGAAAGACTTCTAGCAAATGCTCTGTATTAGCCGATAAGAATTGTCTCAATGGTTATCGATGTTACATTGCCAAGGTCATTCATTGTAGACACATTTTCTTAATAATCGGCATGATGGCGTACAAACTTTTCTGCTGTTATTTTTCCCACGATGACTAACTGTCCAACGGTACAAAATAAGAAAAATTCTTGATGGGAATTGACTTTTGCTATCGAGTAAAATGAAAATGTTATTTCCTGTTTAAAATGTAAAATATTGGACGAACAAAAAAATCATCATTGGCTCAGACAAACTTATTGCGAAAGCGAAAATTTGTTAGTGATTGTTTTTTTTGATAAATGATGTGCTTTTTCCTGAAACATGTTTCAATCAAGTGAAATGAAAATAAGCTACTTCTTTCGAAATTTCTTACTTAAATCTTATGATGGATTGTAACAAAAATAAGAAGTATTCTCTTTAGATATTTGAAATGATTCGATCATATTCCACATTTTAATCTCGCACGAATTGTGCTCAAAGATTTTTTTTGTCCGATTCGTGCCATTTCCACATAAAATGACAATAGATTTAAGAAAAAACGCATGACAATTCAACTTTATTTATCTTTTCATTTTTTTAGTTGTAAATGTAAAAAGTTTACAAAAATACTTATTTCTATCTCTTATTCTGCCGAAAAAGGTTAATTGTACAGCAGAATATTACGATAGTTGAGTATTAGAAAAGGGCTCATGTGATTCTCACATAGTGCTAATATATGATTAAATACACTTTTATCTCCTCCTCTCAAGTGTGAAACACTCTAGTTTCTATCAAAATTGATTCGAAAAATATTCATTCTTTTTCTGAGTTGAAAAGAAAAATAATTTTGCTCTTCAAAAGCTAATTTTTTGGAGAAAGACGATTGAAATCAATACATCTTATGTAGAAAAAATTTTGATTTTTGTATAGATATTGATATAAGATTGAGTTTTTTTCAAGACTTATTTGACATGATAAAATTTACAGGTAGTCAAAGCATTGAAGCTGATGTATATTTTTTATATGCAAAATGTGCGAGACTAAAAACATTTTGACGTATCGGATATTTCAACATATTAACAAAAATGTTTCATCGATATGATCTATCGCAAACAATATGTTAGTGACGAATACCATTTGAACGAATTTCGATTGTCAGATAATTAAAATCAAAATATTCGATGACAAACAAAGAATAGAAAAGCAAAAACAATGAGAAAATATATATTAACGATATATTTAAGAACGAATTAGAGTCCCACTGAAGCAGAATAAATATAAGATAAAAACAAATTTCCAACGTACAAAAATTTCTTCGAAAATAAAATAAATTCTTCGAAGACAGTTTTTATATGATTGTGTTTGTATTTTTCTTTTTATTGATAAGAAGATTATTACTATAAAATTTAAAACGCTATTCAGAAACTCAAGTGGTCTGAACCGGCTTTTCGCTCAATGAAATTAAAAGTTATCATCTCGATAAAGATCGATTAGTTTTTCGTACTCAATTATAACTTATTATTCTCAAAGATATGAGTGAATTGGCGCATAAAACATGAAACCATCTCGTTTCACCCTTATATATGATGAAATATCTTTAGAGCAAAAACTTTGAGATGAGAAACGCGTCAGTGACGATGAACGATAATAGAATTGAAATTGTGCAATTGATAGATAGTTCAATTGATCAATTAATAAAACCATATAATCGCGAGAAATTAGTCTCATATATAAATATTCGAGACGAGAAAAACACTTCATAATCGATTTAGGTCCAATCGATGGTGAGTTTCACTTTCGGATTTTTCAAAATTGTTTCATACGTGTAAAGTTTGTATCGCTTCGAAGACGATATCATGTGATAAGCCAGCTAATATAAAGAGATCTTGACACGACAATGAACGTAAATGAGGCATATGTTCAATGAGGACGAGAAATGAAGTCGATATAAGATTAGTGTCAGTTTCTTCTACGTATATTGAATACGAGTGATGTGACATTGATAAAACATTAAATAATTGGATTAAATAATAACAAATCAACTTGATGGATATATTTATCAAAACAGAAATTGGATGATGTGCATATTGGTGGCCAATAAGTAATCGGACATACAAGAATATTTGATGTAAAGCGAGGTACCGTAAAGATATATTGCGAATATGGACTATCACAGGCAACAAATCAGCGCTTTTGTTCAAGTCAGAATAGTGAACAAAATGAATCAAGAATATTTTCTTCGGAAAAATCTGGTAATGAATATGAAAGATGCAATCGAAAGCTGAATATAGTCAAATGTGAAACAAGTAATTCCCATTTTTGGCCATTAGTAAGATCCAGATAACCTTGTGCAATAAGTTCGAAATAATATAGATTAGATATCTCAGATAAAAATTGCTCCACATGGATCATGGTCTTTTTTTCACCTTAATTTTTAAAAACAAGGAATAGGGTGTGGGCGTGGTTGTGGGTGGGTGTGGGCGTGGTTATGGGTGGGTGTGGGCGTGGTTGTGGGTGGGTGTGGGCGTGGTTGTGGGTTGGTGTGGGTGGGTGTGGGTGATTGTGGGTGGGTGTGGGTGGGTGTGGGTGTGGGTGAGTGTGAGTGTGGGCGTGGGGTGTGGGTAAGAGGGAATACTAGACTCATATCCACACCTACCAGAGATGGAACCGGTACCGGTCTGGATTTTGGATCGACCGGTCTACCGGCCCAAACCGGTCTACCGGTCTATAGGGTGTCCAGAAAATGACTAGAGTTAGAAAAAATTGCATATCTCTCTGCTACGGCTCGAGCAAACAGGCTGATTTTTCTACCAATAATAGAAGCATGTTCACACTTTAAATCCATACAGACAAGATTAGAAAGAGCCTTTGTTAAGTACCACCAACGACCTCAACAAAAAAATTTTACTTTTTCACAGATAAGAAAAAAAACAATAGACTTAACAAAGAATCTCTCTAGGCATGTCTTTATGAGTATAAAGCTTGGACATGCCTCTATCAATGATAAAAGAATCAGCTCTTTTGCTCGAGCCATAGTGAAGATATTCAATTTTTTTGCGGCAAAGTGACTTTTGCGCTACTCCGTATAGTGTTCTTTTCCTATCTGTGAAAGAGTAAAATTTTTTTTGTTGAGGTCGTTGGTGGTACTTAACAAAGGCTCTTTCTAATCTTGTCTGTATGGATTTAAAGTGTGAACATGCTTCTATTATTGGTAGAAAAATCAGCCTGTTTGCTCGAGCCGTAGCAGAGAGATATGCAATTTTTTCTAACTCTAGTCATTTTCTGGACACCCTATATACTGGTCTATATTTTTCACTTTCCTGCTCTATGATTGTATTCAAGGTACGAAGGTAACCCACCAAAGAGTTCACTGCACAAGATTTCATTTTAAGCTTCAGCCTGTTGTCTGTATATCGATATTTTATCGATAGGTCGGGTTTTCCTGATAAACTGGCGTATCACCAGTATCCTGTCACTATCGGTAGACCGGTCAAACCGGTATACCGGCCGGTCCGGTCTACCTTTCTCCAGACCCGCACCGGTACCGGTCTGAAAAAAGGTAGACCGGTTCCATCTCTGACACCTACACCCACAGCCACACCCACATCTACACCCACCCACACCCATCGCTCGCATCTATCGGGTTGGCGCATAAGTTCTGCACGTTTGGATCAGTAGAATTATATCGCCAATATAAAACTACATTTTAAGGAAAGTAATTATATATTCTAATAGCGCTCGGAATTCTCTATCACCCTATATATTTAAGTCGTGACTTGCATTTATTTGCTGAAAAATATTTCGAGTGCACCGAAGACACCCTCACCCTCATTGACAATGTTCGAAACATTTCTCAGAAAATAAGTTCAAGCCAACACTGAATATACAGGATGATAGAGCATTTCAAGAGCTCTCAGAATATACAATTACTTTTCTAAAAAAATGGATTACAGTATAGATAAAAATTTTAAAAACATATGAAAAAGGAACAAAAAATGAAGTTCGTGGAAATCTGCGGGTGAGGGTGTCTTCAGTGTACTCGAAATATTTTTCAGCAAATAAGTGCAAGTCACGACTTAAATATATAGGGTGATAGAGAATTCCGAGCGCTATTAGAATATATAATTACTTTCCTTAAAATGTAGTTTTATATTGGCGATATAATTCTACTGATCCAAACGTACAGAACTTATGCGCCAACCGGATACGAACAACTATACCTTACACCCTCGTTTCCTTTTCTAATCATTCTTAACACACAACTAAAAGTCTGATATACGGTGCTCAATGCATCCGTGCGCAATTCTCCTAGTGCGCAACTTTCCGTGTGCATCTGTCTGGAGGGTGGGGGTGTGGGTGTGGGTTCTAAACCTTTCTTCACTTACACCCACACATCCATACACCCACACCCACACCCATACCCATACCCACACCCACACACTCACACCCACACCCACACCCATACCCACACCCACACACTCACACCCACACCCACACCCACCCACACCCACACCCACACCCCTTTTTTGCTTAAACGAATAATAGTGTTCTAAACTGAAACATTCCTATAAGTTAATTAACTGAGCATTATGATCTGATTCGATATAGTCATAATGAATATTTATTTTTCTCAGAAGACGATTTTACAGTATCTATTAATCGACAAAATTTAAACAGTGAATATATATATATACGCTTCTTGGTCATTATCGTGCACATTATAAATCAATTCGTGCATTATTTTTTGGTTTAACACCTGATGATAATCAACCAATATTAATTACAATTGATAAAACAAAAAAATTAATTAATTTTCTTTTCCTTTAATTTTAATATTTAAAATTAAAATTCTTTTTTGATTTCTCGGGTGCTGTTCGTATTTTAGTTGAATATGATTTAAATGGAAGTGAAACTGATCATCTTGTTTTAAATTCATCAATACGTATTGAAAAAATAGCTGAGCCGATGTCAGCTTATTATTATCCATCATCATTAACAAAAGAATCATTTATTGTTACAGTTAATAATGAATATAAATATAAATTATATAATTCTGATACAAAAATGTGTCGAAAAACAATTTTAGATCCAACATTTGGTTCACCATTACATAAAATAGGAATGCTATCAAAATTAGGTGAAAATTCTATTGAAAAATATATTTATTTTATGACAACAGATAAAATAGGTCTTCAACGTTTACCATTAACTGGTGATCCATATGATCAAATGGCACATGTTACATGTTAATCCACAAGTTTTACAAGCACAAGCACAATTAGGTGAAAAAGATTTAATACAATTTTATAAATTATTAGAAGGTGGAAGAGGTGGAAAAATTTTTCGAAAAATGCAAGAATTATTTTAGTATAGTCAATTACGTTAGTAAGTTATTAAAATTTTATGTAAATGAATGTCTTCATAGATTATAAAAGTTTCTAAAGAATCACTACTCTCTATTTATAAAAAATTCTTTTTAATGAAATTCATATTCTAGAAATCGGAACCAGTTCGAGTAGGTCAAATTGACACATCAACCAATCTAAATTTCGTACAATTTCCATCTCTAGATCAGGTCATTTGATGTGATTAACATTCAAAAAAGTTCTCCTACATAAATTAATCTAATAAAAGCAAGAAAGTAAATAAATTAGACAGACTGGTAGAGGTACAGAATCTACCAGTGTGCAGGAACCCGCATTTGGAAAATGTTGCGATCAGAAAATATCTACCGTTTAGAAAATAATCCAGGCAGATCAGAAGGTCATAGTATTTCTGTTATTGATGTGTACTAAAACTAGAAGCTTTAAAAGTTTTTAGTAATACTTTACATGGTTGACCAAAGTTACACAAAGATTTCACCTCTTTAAACATAAAACATGTTGCTTAAATAAATCAACTCTCAGAGATTATATTCATATTAGAAGACGTCTTCAAGAAGGGTGATGTAAAAAACTCCAATACAGAGCAATAGTCTTCTATTTTGGAAGGGACTCTAAACGATTTCGATGATTAAAAATTTGTTATAGCTGTTGTATGTTCATAATATCACTTTATTAGGTTTTCTTTCCATAACAATTGATTATAATCACAATGATTTTGGTTTCTTTTACGTTGCGATCGTTTTTGACATCATACTGATAGTTGGCTTTTGATGTTTTATTTCTATGAATATGCACCCTCAAACCAAGGAACTCTTTTCTTTTAGGCAGGAAAATTGTCCGAAAAACTTTTGCCTAATGACACATCCTCTCTGAAACAATAAGAACAAAAAAATAAATGAGGCATGCCGGTAACTGGTACTAGTCCCATCATTGCAATATTCTTGTCCTTCAATAGATCATCAGAATTTAAGTTACTATAGGTATATTTATCTTTCATCTGGCGATGTGTAAGTGAAAATATCTAATTAAAATAACTATGAGACTTATATCATCAAATCAAAACATGATTTTCAAAAGCCATTTAGCTCCATCAATGTTAGCTAATTATAACATGTATAGATTCGATACAGTTAGATTGATATTCATTTACTATGAATGTATGTAATGCAAGAAATCTGACAGTCGTCAAATCCTTATTGTTTGTTTTACTTACTCAAAAAATGTAATGACATTTTGATTGTGTTATAATTTCTATTTCTTGCATAAATAATAATCTATAATTCTGATCCCATACGTCGTCATCATATAAGAATAAATTATGAATTTTGAAATGAAATGTTAATGAAACATATTTTCTAATTTTCTTAGTCAAGATATAAATCGATTTGATCGTCGAGAAGTAACATCAAAAATTCCATTAAGTGAAATTCCATTTGTTATAAAGAGATTTTATATTAGATTGAAGATATGCTCAATGACAATATGGTGAACATATGAATGATTATAAAATGGCTGATTGTTTATCAAATTTACTTCATTTAAATAATGAATCAACCAAGGGGGAAACAGCAGAGACTTCAGCCGTGAAGTCTCATGGAGTCTTGAAAGTCTTTCAAAGTCTTCTGAAGTCTCTTGAAGTCTTATGAATTCTCATGAATTTTCATAAAGTCTCTTGAAGTCTCTGAAGTCTCATAAAGTCTTATGCAGTCTCATGAAGTCTTTTGAAGTCTTTTGAAGTCTCTTGAAGTCTCTTGAAGTCTAATGAAGTCTCATGAAGTCTCATGAATTCTTCTGGAAGTTTTGAAATACATTTAGTGCATCATACGAAATCATTGAAATTGTCTTGTTTTCGATGGTCTTATTCTGGCAGAAAGGTGAACCTTTTACTGTTTTTGTGTACTCAAAAAGTGAGTACACTCTAGAATCGGTCACTGTGTCCGTCCGTTTACACGATAACTTTTGAAAAGAGAGTCAGATCACGATGAAATTTTCTACACAGTTTAGTCTCAACAATATCTCGGTCGAGTTCGAAGATGAGAATGAATGGCCGGGTCATTGCTGAGTTATAGCAAAAATAGTCATTTTCCCCTATGCTTCGCTATGCGAAGATCGACCTATCTCCGCTTTCGTAAAACACTTTTCCCATCATAGTCAAATAAAACCCAACTATTATATACCATTTGATAGAGAATTTCACGAGCTACAAAATGGTATATAAAACATAAGGAAACAAGAAAGCTAACTCACCTATTGCAAAGATAATTAAATGGAATTCGGTTCTGTTTTTGTCCACGCTCTAATTGATCCACAATTAGAGCTTTATCTTCCGATCACAGAGATGATAGTTCGAGATTTTCTGGGGTGGAGAACTCGAATCTGTGCTTCATTCGCCTCGAAATCCCATTGGTTGAGCAGTAACCAATAGAAATGAAGTTATAGGAAAAACGACTTTCTTAGGGTAAATCAAGGTGAAGAGTTCAAAGCTGAGCTGTATTCGCCCCCAAATCCTATTGGTTGATCAGTAGCCAATAGAAATCAAGTGTTTATAGACAAGATTTGCCAGGATCATTTTTATGTCCACACATTCTAGGATGACTCATCTGTGTCTTTCACTTTTTGAAGTACACATAACTCTCGGATTTAAATCCGAGGTTTCCACATTTATTTTTCAATGTGCTGGAAAAAAATTCAAGTTTATTGGATCTTAGAAAACATGACAGTTAATAGCTGAATGCTTTTTGAATGAAGTGACTTATTTTCATAAGAAGTGTTCCATCTATTCAATGTCAATCTTATGAAGAATTGTATTTCTTTTCGTTTGTTTCTATCACTCATGAAATCTATCAGTCGATAAACGGCTAGCTTTGTCGGTCAATAACCAACAAGCCGTTTGCTTGTGTATACATTTAGTCTTGTTATTTATTTGCATCTGAAAATAGGAGTTTTTCAATGCTGGATTAATCGAATCAAATATACGCATACCGGCAAAGTTTATTTTCTCTGTTTTAATTTCATCAACGCTTTGTGTCATTGCCATATCTTTATTCTAGATATAGATACACTTCGAGAAACAAATCTCAGAAACAAGAAACACTTTTGTAATCTCTATATGATAAGTTTTGTTTTTTGCATGTTATAGAAGTTTTATGTAATTTCTATAAGCTTTTTTGATACGCATGGAATTTGTCTCTTGAAGTCTTGTGAAGTCCTATGAAGTTTTATGAAGTCTGGCGAAGTCTTATGAAGTCTTATGAAGTTTTGTGAAGTTTTGTGAAGTCTTGTGAAGTTTTATGAAGTCTTGCGAAGTCTTATAAAGTCTGATGAAGTCTTATAAAGTCTCAAGAAGTCCTATCAAATCTCTGAAGTCTAACAAAATCCATGAAGTCTCATGAAGTCCGTGAAGTCTCATGAAGTCTGCGAAGTCTCACGAAGTCTTTGGAAGTCTATTGAAGTCCCATGAAGCCATACGATGTCTTATGAAGTCTTGTGAAGTCATTTGAAGTCCTGTGAAGTCTTCAGAAGTCTTTAGAGCTCTTTTGAAGCCTTGTGAAAATATGAAGTCACTGCGGTTGAAGTCCGTTGAAGTCTTTTGAAGTCTTGAAGTCTTGAAGTCTTGAAGTCCGGTATTTCCCCCTTGCATTTATCAGAGTGCAGGAAATAGATGAACTATTGTTTGCAGTGATATTCGTCTTTTCCTTTGGAGTTAGTAACCGAAACAGAACAATGTGTGATCAAATTTCGTCGAATATGCGTTATTTTAATATAAGCGAGCCGGGTAAAGCAACGGCGGCTTTAGAAAATGACGCCGAAACGCAAGTGCTTAATTTGGTCCATACTGAACTCGCTCAATCACCTGATTCAGTTCAACTTTTCTGATCCTATCCAACTAAAATCATGACTTTGACCATTGAAACATCATTCACAGAACAGCGCCGACTATATACCATTTCGTTCCATGCCGAATATCTCAGAGGACCAATTAAAAATGTCTATCGAGTTTTAAATGTTCAACAAACTGAAATTCCGATCAGCAATGAAAACATTATTCAACAATCGGATTCTAACTATCAAGTTATTCTTCAATTTCAAGCTCCACCGAATATAACCACCTATGGAACTTTTATCAAATATGATATCTTACCAAGCTAAAAAGACATATTCCTTCAATACTTTTTCTTAATTAACTAACTCCGAATTCCACGAAGTATTCATTAATTACTAATCAACCGTATTTTCTGAAGCTTTTTTTTGATAATACATATAACTAATATTGTTTTTGATTGATCCATCAAAATAAATTCGAAGAATTTCAAGCTATTGTACAAGCAATAAACTTATAGAAATAAAGAATTTTTACAGAATAAAAGTCTTCAAACGAAAAGCATAAGTATTACAACATTCAATCAGCTATCGATAGCTGATTCCACTGCTCAATATGAGTCATTTTTTTAAAGATACTTTGTAGCGTTATCTATGGTGTCTAGGGATGTGCAGTTTCGGTGAAAACCATGAAATACTGACAGTGATTTCACTGCAGTGAGCGCACTGACTACACTGACTGCACCGACATTGGTGTTCACTGAACCAGCGCATACACTGACACTGATTGCACTGGCTTCACTGTCCGCACCGACATTGGTGTTCACTGGGCCAGTGCATAGACTGACACTGACTGCACTGACTCCACTGACTGCACCGACATTGGTGTTCACTGAACCAGTGCATGCACTGACACTGACTGCACTGACTTCACCGGTGTACTATGCATAGCTGGGTGTGGGTGTGGGTGTGTGGGTGTGGGTGTGGGTGTGTGGGTGTGGGTGTGGGTGTGGGTGAGAGTGGATTCAGAAAAGATTCACACCCACA